AAACAATTCTTCTCATGTGTACAATTGCTTTGTAGTTCACAAAACACCTCATTACCTTGAACCCTGTGAGGTAATTAGAATAATTAGTCCTTCACTTCATGGGGGAAGAAACTGACTTTAGAAATCCCGATTTGCCCGAGATCCCTTAGGTTTCTAGGGGAAAAGGGGGCTTCCATGCTTTTGTATCAGCTCACACTGGGATAGAGAATCCTAGTGACCTTAGATCAGAAAGTGACCACAGGAACCCCCCTCCTTCTTGGCCCATTCTTCCTATCACCCATATGCTTCCAGGTCAAGAGTAACAAAGCAAGAGGGAGTGACCAGAATGTCTTCATACCTAGGCAAAAGGGAGATACAAGGGAGGGATCTCTTTGTCACAATAGTGAACTCCCTCACCCCTAGTGGTCTTTTGAGCCTGGCTCAGTGAAGCAGCAGAGAGAGCACCTAGGTCAGTCTGTTCTTCCTCCATTGGTTCTCACTCCTTTGAGCTGAGTAACATTACTGCAGAATGACTCAGAGTGACTCTGTTTTGTGTTGGCAACTGTTGGTGCTCAAATCTCATTACTCTCATGCCTATCTGCTCTATTATTCTGTGTACATGGGAGGAGCATAGAAACAGCCTGGACATCTCTGGGCCAGACCACTCTTAGCACCCAGGCTGAGACTCAAAGAACAGGTCCGTGTGCACCTCAGGAACCTTTCAGTCCAGATTCTGCCATGGCAGGCTACCATTAGAGGTCCATGGGACACAGCAGTGGAAAACTGAGGATAACCACTGATAAACTATATTAAGTATATTCTATCATTACAAGTAATGTCTGCGCAGTGTTTTAGATATGGGGGATGCTTACATTATAATGGTGATTGAAGCTATAGGATTAACATAAAATACAATATCACCTTTTCCTTTTTTAAAAAGGCAGCGAACAATGAAGAAAGCGTAAATCAAAGTACTTAAGAACCAGTAGCCTCATGGATGTCATTTACCCACCCTTACCCTGGGCCACTGTCCCTTTGTCTGCAACATGGAAGTGGTGAAACCTGCTTGCTAGGCTTGGTGTGACATTCTGTGAGTGACAGAACACTGTCAGGTGTTACTATACTAGTAGCGGTGATGGCTGTGTTATAACAGTGGATGATGTACCTCTTTGCATCTCACTATATTCCTAATTTTGTGCAGCAGACATACAGTTTTATCATCTTTATGATCAGGAAAAAGAGTTGGAGCTCTGTGTTGATTTTCTTGCCTACTCCCCTTCCTCCCCAAAAGAAAGACTAGGAATTAAAATTAAACAACTAGCAATTAAGGGGGACAGTTAGACTTAGCACTGTCACCAGCCCAGTCCTTTCAGAGGATCACATGCTCTGTGTCCTTCTAGGTGGCTCCAGCAGATGGCTTCTCTGATCTTGCCATGCAAGTAATGACATCTCCGTCCAAGAACTACATTCTCTCTGTGATCAGTGGGAGCATCTGTATATTGTTCCTGATTGGCCTGATGTGTGGACGGATCACTAAGCGAGTGACACGAGAACTCAAGGACAGGTAGAGCCGCCTTGACTGCCAAAGGAACTACCTATCCATGCCCAGTTTGTACAGCCCTCCTGTATAGTGTACCCACTTGCCTCGCTCTTCTGAGAGGTGACACCGACACCCATGTTAGAGCATCAGCAGGTGTCTTCTGCATTATCCCATCCAGACTCCGCCCGTGTTCATGGTGTCCTCCTTCTCACCATTTGTACAGCATCAGCAGCTGGCCGCTTGGGTTATCGCCTTTGTGGGCAAACTTGGGTTTACCTGCCCGTAGACAAGTCTCTCATACCAACAGAACTACCAGTACTTCCAGAATCAACTCCACCTGACCTGCAACTCAAATGCTTTTTTAAAAAAAACAAAACAAAACACCAAAAAAAGGAAAGAAATTTTTAAAGAAAAAAATGTATATAGTAGCACATCTCCTCCAGGCTTTATTTAGTCAAAGGGGTTATTTCTTTTGTGTAATTGCATAAAATGAAGGCAGGACGTAGAGGGGACACAAACACCCAGCACGTCATCACTGGGATGTCACATTCATCTCTCAGAAGCACTACTGGGCCATATCACAGCCATGGTCTTCGCTAAGTGGGAAGACCACTAACCAGCCTGCTTTGGGTCCTGTTTTCTTCTGCTGAGATAGTGATGCCTTCCAGTTTCCACCCTAAATGAGCCATTGCTGGTCATAGCCCCAAGGCATGGCTATCTTTGAAGTAAAGCAGGAGCCGCCCTAGGCCAAGGGCAAATGAGTAGGGGAGGGATCCAAAGTTTGTGAAGGTGGACAGTCCGTTGATCTGTACCGAGAGGCTGGACTCTGAGTCCCTTGGCACCATAGACCAGTAAACATCCTCAGGATAGTGCAGGACCCAGTGCATCCTCATGACCCTGCTGAGGCAGCAGTTTTTCCAAAGTTTCATGTTCCACTGGGAGGCAGTGATCACAGGGAGGGAGGGTCCTTGAAGAATTGGGTGTGGGAGGGAGGCAGGACAGGAACAAGGAGCAGGGGTTGACTCACTTTGCTTTATTTTTCAGGCTACAATACAGGTCAGAGACAGTGGCTTATAAAGATTTAGCGTGGCCTCAGGGTGTGACTGGCAGTCCAACCTGACCTTTCTGCACACTCCAGGCAAACTTCCCAGACACGCTCCTTTGTGCCTCTACGTGGAGAGGGTGTGGAAAGTTATTATATTAAAAGATGGAGGATTTTCTCTGGTTTTTTTTTTTCTTTCTTCCTGTCCACTGTGTGTACCCACTCTAGAAAGCATTGGTTAGATTTTGTATTTTGATGATTCATCAACCTTTCTAGGACTCGAGCTTTCCAGCAACATGCCTGCCTGACCATCCCCCCTAGAAGTGTAAGAGGTAGGAGCCCGGCATCACAGCTCAACCGAGCATAACTTTGGTTGGGTTTGGGGCATGAAGTCACAGTGACTGCACGAGAGAGCAGCATGTACAGTAGGAGATATATTTATATAATATATTTTATTAACCTGTTAGATGTCCGCAAAATATTGTAAAACACGTGCCTGAAACTGTCCACGTAGACCAAGGCCCACCCACACTGCCCTTCCTCCTCCCACCTCACCTGGGCAACATTTGTCTTCCCTGAAGTGTGTTCAGTAAAAGGCATGTCTGTTTATGGATCAGTTGATCCAGATTATTCTCGTCTAACCTGACTGACCTATATTTAAATACTGTGGTTTTCTTTTACTTCTTTTTGCTGCCCTTCCTAGAGGCAATAGGTTCCAGAAAAGAGCTGTCTATCCCCCTGCCTAGAGCAATGTTAGTCACTAAGGGAACCTACTAAGCTGCTCAGTCCCCTCAGTCCTGCTTTTTGGGTCTTCCTGATTCTCTACAACTGGTCTAGGATTCTTCAGTCTCATAAAACTTGAACCTCTTGGAGTGTGAGCACCATGCTGTTACTGCCCCCACTGCCAGAAGGAATCGAGCTGGTCTGGATAGCCCCTCTCTGGGGATTCCCATTTGGGTAGTGGGGGCTGCTGAGGCTCAGTAGGAAGAACCAGTAATAGCATCTAAATGCAGGTTCCCACTGACATACTTGGTGTCATTTACAGGATAGGGTTAATGTTCGCTGTTTGACTAGGACAGGGGTATCATACGCCAGCTCTGTAGTCTTCCCTCCTGGTTTGTAAAATATCCTCGTAAGTTGTGATGCCTCTTGATATTTTTATTCTCTCTGAACTGAGAAAATCCCATTAGTCTTCTGCAGCAGATTTGGAAGTTTGATGAAGAGTTTGGTTCTTGAAACATTTGTCATCTCCAGAAATGGTCAGAATAGAAAGTGTAACTCTGGTGGTGTCTTCAGTTGTCTGGTACCAAAAAGCCTTTTCCCACCCTACTGGGAGTGGTTTCCCAGGACTGGCTCTGGGGAGTCTTAGGGTTATGAGTAAGTTTTTCTAAATCCAAGGGACCCAGCACCATCTGAACTGGCAGCCCAACTGCATCCATTCTGTATCTCATCTGGTATAACAAAACATCTGGGGCACCCCTGATTCCCGACCTCATAGAGCTATTATGAGTATAAGTCAGCTGATTGAGAACTAGTCAAGAAGTAGAACCCTGACCCTTCTATAGGAGCTGATGATGGACTCTGGCCTTTATTTGTTCTCGTAATGTCTAGCCTGTGAACAATAATACATAGTATAAGTAGTGGTTGTGTGGTTTGGGGGCAAAGCCAAGGCTCTGGGCAATTGCTGAAAATTAAAGCAGCCAGGTGACTGCCAATCTGGCCTTGACATCTCATGATAGTGTCTCGGGGACTGTTATACGTAGTGTTCTCCACCACCAGGCACCAGGAGCCCAGGTGCTCCTAGCCTGGAAGCATTATGGTACAGGAGATGAACAATCTGGAAAATGTCAAGAACAAACTAACCACTCCCAACAGAGCTTCTCCTACAGAAAGGCATTTCTGCAAGTGAGACCTTGGTACATCCCTGGATGGACCAGTCAGCTGCTGTCCCAAGGCAAGTCTCTGGCAAGATGTGCAAACAGGACCTTAGGGCTTTTTGCTTACACTAGAGGCTTGGGTTTGGTCCTGGGAAAGCTCTTTCCTACATTCCCTGGAGACTCTCTGGCTACCATTCCCAGTCCTAATTCTGCAGCTCTAGTCAGCTTATTCTGAACTAGTACATGCTTAGAAGCTTGTGGAATTCTAGGGCAACTGATGAACTAGTATTTAGTAAGCAGGTGTTAGCAGGCCCCTTTGCAGGCCTTTGACTGTCTCACCCTGTACTTACTCTTCTGAGGGATAGTGAGGAGCTCAGCTAGTGGGGTGGGGATGCATCTCAAGGAAGTGACTGCTTTCCTAGAAAATGGGACAGAAAGTTATGTTTTCATTTCTTTCTACTTCCTGAGATCAACTAATAGAAGAATCCAATGGTTAGGATGTCTACACATACATTATACATGTCATCAGACAAATTAGAAATGCAATTATGTGGGTTACTCCCCTAACCTTCCTAAAACAGGTTCACTTTTTTTTTTTCCCAATTTTTGGCTGGGGCTGGGTTTGAACCTGCCACCTCCGGTATATGGGGCCGGCACCCTACTCCTTTGAGCCACAGACGCTACCCAAGACAGGTTCACTTTTATGTGTCAGTGTGACTTTTGGAAATGTTGTCTCAGGCTCCAGCCTTGTGATACTGCTTCTGTCCCAAAGATCTATTCTAGCAAGTCTTTTGCGGGTAGGTGGCTTCATAGGGCCCCCTCTCCTAGCCGGCCTCAGGTCCCTCTGAGGAGAGACCTTCCCTTCCCATTGCTTCCCCTGCTCCATCCCCTAGCAAATTGGACTAGGAACCCTCAGAGTCAGCCAACCCAGCCTGGCACATTCAACCTAAATGTTGGCCACAGAACCAAAAGAAGGAATGTGACTTTGTGGATTATGTGCATTTTGGTGTACATGTATTTACTTGTATTCCAGCTTCTTGTGAATTGGAAAAATCTCAAAGATCAGAATGTTTTCTTGTATTTATCACCATTTGGGCACCACCTACATAATTTTATAAAATACAGCATTCTGGTGTCATGGTTGCTCTTAAACCTATAGGGACAGTTCTGTTCTCCTTACCTGCCTCTTCACTAACTAGGTTTTGGTTCCCAAAGGTCCTGTAGCCAGATCTGAAGTTCTGGCCTCCCTCCTTCCTGTTTGCCTTTGGTCGCCTCCCTTTAGCCACACTCCTTCTTGATCCTCCTCCTTCACTAGGGAGGACCAGGTCACATGCAGGGGCAGAGTTTAAAGCCAAATACCACTTCCTAGCCAGATTTCAGACAACAGATAAGTCATTAGCAAGCCCAGACTGATTTTCAGGGTGACAGACTCCCCCGGCCATCTGTTAAGACCATTGTGGGGACTAAGAGGACTGGCTGTTACCTGAAGCACAAAGACAAGAATGTCTGCTCAGGCTGGTGATGACAAGATACTAACAGGTGGTCCTCTCCCCTCCCCACCACACCCCAGACCATCACCACCCACAGGTAGATTTCTCATCTTCCCGGGGGAGGATGAAGTTCAGACAGTGCCTCTCTGTATTGTGTTTTGCCTTCCCCTCAACATAGAATTGACATCTGGACCCCAGAGCCCATCAGGGCCCTCTGCAGACATGCCAGGGTGTTGTGAACAGGTCCCCCAGGTCTGATTGCAGTGCACTGGGTGGAGGGACCCATAGGCGAGCCGGCAATAGGGAGGCTTCCTAGGCGGCTTCCCCCTAGCACAACGCTCCCAAGTCAATCCCAGCAAGAAAACAGACTGCAGCAAATGCTGTGTTGAGATCTTAGGCCTTTAACTTTTTTTTTTTTAAGGAAAAAAAAAAGGTACAATTAACAAGCCTCTTTTGTAAATGGGTTTCCTTTCTATGTATAAAATCCTGGCAGTTTCTTGTTTTTACATGTTCATGCTGTGTAATTTTGAGATGTTACTGATATGTTCTGAACATAATGTGCATTTTTTTCTGTACAGATGAAACAGGAGAATTTAATAAAGAGTTTGCAGGTTTTTACTTGTTAAATCTTCTCTGTGGTGACTAGAAGGAACCTCCAACCACCTGGTCTGCTAGAAGTTTATGAAGCTATAAGCACTGACAATAAACTTGTCAATTGATATATATCTATGGTTAAGGTCTTTAGTTCTTAGCTAATTAGGTCCAGCAGAGAGGACTGTAGGACCTGTAGGGAAAGGGACCTCAGGCTCTGTATTCTGTCTGCTAATGCCAGAGCTAGAACTCACGTCTGGGGTTTTCTGACTCTGGAGTTGGTGCATTTAAGCTTGTGTCATGGGGATCTATCCAAGAGAAAGCACATACCTAGAGCCTCTCTCTACAGAGCCCTCCTGTTCCTACTTTTCCTCAGTCATCCCACCCCAATTCCCTGCATCCCAGTTCTGGGTCACTGGCACACCCTTCCTGAGCCTTTTCCTTGGCTTCTCCCACTCTTAGCAAAGCTAATTTGCAAATGGGTGTTAAAAATAAAGGCTTATGTAGTTTGCATGACAGCAGGGATTTCTTGAAGTAGAAATATCTGTACTGGGATTCAAGTAAGGGGATGTGCAGAGAGAGGAAACAATAGGTTGGGGCCCATGTAGGAGCAGCTGTCACTGCGGCCTGTGGGCCTGGGTATAGAGGAGAAGCAGAGAAGAGGCAGAGTGTAAAAGAGGAAGGAGAAGAGGGACTTGGGAGCCAGGTGAGTCCTAAGTACAAGTGTTTCTGTGTTGAGGGAGCCTGGGGCACCATCAGCCCCTGAATGTGAGGAATCTGCTCATGAGTGTCTTAGAGAAGCTGCCCAGCTTTGGTCTAAGGTTGGTAAGCGGGACCATAGTCTACTCTAGGGTCTTTGCCACCAGTACTCTCCACAAGTGAGACAAGAAAATATGGATAAAATAGAAGAAAGAATAGAAGAGTTTCACCAGCATATTGGAAACCCTTTTTAAAAAATCAAGTTGAGGGCGGTGCCTGTAGCTCAGTGCGGTGAGGTATAAGCCACATAAGCCGAGGCTGAATTCAGCCCAGGCCTGCTAAACCTACAATGACAACTGCAACAAGAACAACATACACGAGTGGTCACTAGAGGCCAAGTTCTGACTATGAAGTCAATTGTGGGCAGGCTGTGCAGTCCATTGACAGGGACAGTAACTTCAAGGGGACAGGAAGTCCCCCACCCCAGTCAGGCCAGGACTGCATGGAGGAAAAGATAAATGCCCT